GGGGGGGGGGGCAAAATTTGTTATGGTTTATAATGGCAAATAATACTTTGAATATTACATGTTGATAACTTGATTGGAATTATAACCCTTAGTTGAAAGTTTGATACTTTGAAAAATTTTGAGCCATCCCTACCCCCAAGGGCTGTAGGCCCAATGTAGTCCGTGGGTTAAAATAAAATTTCTTCATTTTCCTTGTTTAGAATCAGAGGTGCTAGTTTCAAATACTTTTCAGTATTAAATCTGCATGCTAGATATTGAATAAGAGTGGTTTTATTGTTTTTTGTCACTTTGAATAATATTTCTGTTCATGTTAAAAACAAAAATCAACTCTCTGTATAAATATATCAGGTGACCGTTAAGGCCCATGGGCCTCTTGTTTATGAGAATGCCCTGTCAAATGGTGTAATTTCTTTTCACAAACAGTTCCGCTGATTGTTTTAATTTCAGTAACATATGTATGCAATCTTTCTGTGTAGATGAAAACGAGGAAGACAAGCTATCAAAGTTGAATGTCCTTAAAAAAGAAGCCAGATCCCAAGTACAAAAGGAGCACTTGCAAAAGGTAATTTAGGTCCCACATCAGAGATGTGAGTGCATGATCTGTATTAATCATCATCGATCCAATAGTCTGTCTGTTTGTCTGTCTGATTGTCTGTCTATTTATCTGTCTGTTTGTCTGTCTGAGCCGACATCCTGTATTTATGGGCTATGAGGTGAGGCTAGCTGTCAGTAGATTCATTCATTTTAACCATGTTCTATATGATCCTCTCCACCGGATTATAAATGGATCTTATGTTGATAATATCATATTCAGGGATGTAGAGTTTCATTAAACTAGTGGAATTATTCCCAGATCCTGAAATCAAAGATGGCCACCATGCATTGCTGCTGATTGTCTAAAACATATATCGCAAATGCATTTGTTCTATTGGTAAAATGTTGTTTGTGCTTTGTGGTCAATGATACTTATGGATAGTCTATATGGTAAACATAAACGTCTTATCTCAATCTTGTAATCTAAGTAGCTGCCATTGCTTTTAATTGGCTGTGACTTTTTGAGCTTGTGTTTTTTTGGGCTGATTTGTTCTTACTTATTGGTAACAGATATTTATTTTTCAATATATATATACATATCAATTTATTATTATCAAACCCCCTGCAACAATGTTATGGGTGTACACGGTAGTCAGGTTGTGTATATATCTGTCTGTTTGTTTGTAGATTAACAGCTCATACAATTTTCATCTCAGTTATCCCAATTATGGTTGATCCTATACCACCTGGCTAATACCTCCACATCAATGTGTGTCTGTGGCGTGCCGGAGGTTTATTAGGGTTTTGTGATGGAATCCTACTATTAACAGTATCTATTTTACATATTGCCTCCTCACCTGAATGACCTAGAACAGACCATTTTATACTCTTCCTGGAGTTTTGTCATGGCAGGAGAAAAATTCCATGTTATCAGGAGTTTGGAATCCTGACTGTCTGTATATAAAGTGTTGAGCTCTTTGTGAGAATTTGTAAGTTAGGTTAATGTTTTTCTACTGAGATAGAATGAAGAAAAGTTATAACAAAATCACACATTCTTTCAAATAAAATGTGTATGAATCCATTCTACTTGATTTTACATTTGATGTGCTATAATATACGCGCAGCAAAATCTAACATCCATATTAGCATGCTCTCACCACAATCACAAAGGACCATAATATCTGGGACAAGTTAGAGTTTCAGGGTTCTCGGGTCAAGGTCAAGGTCACTGTAACTATTTTAAGAAAATAGTAGTCAGCGCTCGAGCTGCTTCATTCCTTGAGGGATTTGGATCAAACTTCACACAATTACAAAGGACTATAAAATCTCGGACAAGTTCGAGTATCAGGATTGTTGGGTCAAGGTAAGTTACTTTGTTTTAGAAAATTCATTGTCAGCGCTCTAGCGGCTTCATTCTATCAGGGATTTTGATAAAACTTCACACAATTACAGAGGACAATAATATCTCTGACATGTTAGAGTTTCAGGGTTGTTGGGTCAAGGTCACTGTTATTTTTTTTAGAAAATCCATTGTCAGCGCTCAAGCGGCTTCATTCCTTGAGGGATTTGGATCAAACTTCGTACAATTTCAAAGGACCATAATATCTCGGACAAGTTAGAGTTTCAGGGTTCTCGGGTCAAGGTCAAGGTCACTGTTACTATTTTTAGAAAATAGTAGTCAGCGCTCTAGCAGCTTCATTCCTTGAGGGATTTGGATCAAACTTCACACAATTACAAAAGACTATAAAATCTTGGACAAGTTCGAATTTCAGGATTGTTCGGTCAAGGTCACTGCTACTTTTTTTTTTAGAAAATTCATTGTCAGCGCTCTAGCAGCTTCATTCTATCAGGCATTTTGATCAAACTTCACACAATTACAGAGGACACTAATATCTCTGACAATTTCGAGTTTCAGGGTTGTCTGGTCAAGGTCACTGTTATTTGTTTTAGGAAATCCATTGTCAGCGCTCAAGCGGCGTCTCCCTTGAGGGATTTTGATCAAACTTCACACAATTACCAAGGACCATAATATATGGACAAGTTCGAGTTTCAGGATTGTGAGGTCAAGGTCAACGTTACTTTTTTTAGAAAATCCTTGTCAGCGTTCTAGCGGCTTCATTCCTTGAGGGATTTGGATCAAACTTCACACAATTACCAACGACCATAATATCTCAGATAAGTTGGAGTTTCAGGGTTGTTTGGTCAAGGTCAAGGTCACCATTACTATTTTTAGAAAATCCTTGTCAGCGCTCTAGCGGCTTCATTCCTTGAGGGATTTGGATCAAACTTCACACAATTACAAAGGACCATAATATCTCAGACAATTTTGAGTTTCAGGGTTATAGAGTTGAGGTCAAGGCCACCGTTACTATTAATACAAAATCCTGGACAAGTTGAAGCCAGTGAGGGACTGATTGATATATTATAATCAAGCATCGATCAATTTGTTCTGTTTGATTCCGATTATCGATAACAAATTCCATCATCGATATGATCGGTTCATTACTGAACTTTAAAGTGTCAAATGTGCATGTAATATACAGTATACATGGAAATTCATTTATTCTGATTTTTGTTTACAATATGATGGATGGTAATGTAAAATAGAAAAATTACATTAAAATCAGCTACAAGCTTATTGTATACTTTTCATTTACCCAAATTAACACCAAAGGGCACCATTTATATAAATCATTACAGTGTAATAGCAATACTCAGTATGCTTGTTATTTTAGAAAGAATAATATTTACTATTAGTTTCTAGGCCAAATAAAATGTTTGAGATGTTTTGAGATTGATATTTAATCTATTTTTGAAAACATTAATGATTTTAGCTGTTGTTAAATTTAAATCAAGTTCCATAGATTCATAGGATCGGGGGAAACAGCTATCATAAAATCTAAGGCATGTGAAGGAATCTTTGGTGATGGTAAAACAGGAAAAAGAGTAGTGTGCTTCCACTGGGGATCGAACCAGCAACCCCCAACTTTCACGTGCACCACTCTACCAATTGAGCTAGAAGTTAAGGGATTCCCTCTGGTGTGAAGCTAGTGAGCTAGAAGTTAAGGGATTCCCTCTAGTGTGAAGCTAGAAAGGTACAGTAATCTGATGTACAATGAAAACCTGCAGCAATAGAAATCCAACTTAAAATTAGGACGAAAACCTGCAACAATAGAAATCCAACTTAAAATTAGGGCAAACATCTTTTGATATAGGTGATTTTAGAAGTTCAAGGATTGTTTGTAGCTTTGCACCTTATCAAACTGACACATGGACAAATATTAACAACACGTTTCTCTTATCTCATGAAATTGTGTCCATGTTTATTTATGACCTTCTAAAAGATCATTTCAAGGCTGTTTATTTTATAATTGAAATTATATATTACAGAAATTTGTCATAGTTTTAATTCTAACTATCAAAATGATAGAACAAGGCTGTTGGTGCTCCAGAAACTTCATTGAAAACTATTGAAATAAGAATAACATTATGAAACATAGATACTATTTTTCACCATGCAATATAATATCTAAGGAGTTTCTGGACTGGGAGAGTGCATTGCAGCTTGTCAATTTCTTCCTGTGGTGGTACTTAAAAATCATTGAGATATGTTGTGTAATAGTTTCTGTTGCATAATCAAACTTTTCAGTTTCTGTAATAAACAATGTATAATATATGCTGATAGTGACTTCTAAGAAAAGCTTGCCATAACTATGAAGTACATGTGCACTTGGTAATCAAGAATGATGAAAAGTAGAGTATGTCATCGTCTGAATTATCAGTGAGATTAAATATGTTTCATAATCATTATCATACACAATACTGTACATGTCATAACAGGCTAAAGGTCAAGGTCACTATTGCTATAAACAGAATTTTGCTGATAGCTGGGAAAGTAATGATCGCTCAATGTTTAAACTTGGTGTCAATGTTGCCCAAGATAATGTGAAGATACCAATTGATTCTGGGCCTGAATCAGTTTAATATTGGTAGGATGCAAAAGACCCTAATGATTTTGGATGTAGTCTGTTAAAGGTTGAGAAAAACTACTGCCCTTTTTAGGTCACCTGAGACAAAGTCTCAAGTGACCTATTGCAATCGCCTTTTGTCGTCGTTGTCCGTCGTCCGTCCAAAAACAATTTACATTTTCGACTTCTTCTCAAAAACCCCTGAACCAATTTCAATGAAATTTTGCAGGAACCTTCCATGGATAAAGGTCAACAGAATTAGTGGCCCAAAGACCCCAGGGGCCTGAGAGGCGGTGCCAAAAAGGGTCAAATTGACAAAAAAAAATAAAAAATCTTCTTTTCAAGACCAAGATATGGTAGAATCAAGTACTCTTCATAGATGGAAGGGTCTTAAGGTGCTTTACCAAATTTGTGAATTTCATGACCCTGGGGTCCCATGTTTCCCCCTAAGGGGGGGG